TGTTTCAGATGTTCTTGCATTTTTTTCAGATAAACTATTTTATGAGAAAAAAATAATTTGAGAGTGTGGGAAAGAGGAAAGATCCCAGAAAACAAGGTCAGAAAGTGTTTACCCCATTGGCCAGATGATTTGGACAAGTCACTTCCTCTCTGTGAGCCTGGATATTTTTTCTTTCATCTATAAAGTGGGGGAAATAAAACGCCCATCTTGGAATTGCTTGGGGGTTGGGATGCAATCACATCTGGGGATGCACTTGTGAAGTGTAAGTTGCCATCTCAATGTCAGTATTGTCAGCGTGTGGATACAGGTAGGGGCTGCAACTGAGGCAGGAGATGGAACCCCACTGTCCCCCAAGCCCACCTCCCACCTCTGCCCTGTGCCCCAGAAAGTCTTCTCAAAGCCAGGTGTGCTGGGTCCTCTCCAGCTGAATGAAAGGAGTGGGCTGTGCTCACCAGCTCCTGCTGGTCACTCTCCAAGGTGGACCTCTGATGCCAGCACCTGGCTGGCACATGATAGGTGCTCATTGGGTGGATGGATGGATATGAATGAATAAATTGATGACCAAATGTGAGTGGGAGAAGAAAGCTCAGTTTTTATTTATAACATGGGGATTATGCTAAGATCTTCTCCAACCTTAAAATTCACTGATGCCAGCAAAACCAAGTTGATCTGCTCTCTGAGAATGGCAGGAAGGTCTACTCCTTTGAGGGCAAGTCGCCTGTTTTGTTCATTCTGGTTAACCCAGAGGTCATCAACCAGGGGTAATTTTGCCCCCGGCCCCCATCCTCTCACCCCTACACCCCCATCTCGCAGCCGCCCCAGCCCACCAGGGGACCTTTGGCACCTTGTGGAATCAGTCTGGATTGTCACAACCAGGAGTGCTACCGCCATCTAGTGGATGGAGGCCAGGGATGCTGCCCAACTTATTCCCCTCCTTCCAGCAAAGAGTTACCCAGCCCAGATGTAGAAGTCATAGAACTCGACCAGCATTCTTCAGGGTGGGCCAGGTGTTCCTGCTTTGGGTTTTGGTTTTGTTCAGTGTTCTCTGGGGTGGTTTTTCAAGCCTGAAATAGCCTTGTTTTGCTGCTAAGGTGCTGTGTGACCCTGAGCAGCCCGTTTTCCCTCTCTGGACCTCATGTCCCGCCTCTGCATGGGTTGAAACCTCTAGGAACCTTTGGAGCTATAAGATGTGATATGTATTTTTGTTTTTGGAGCAGGCTGGGCAAGTCCTTATTGTAGAGAGTGAAGGTACAAGAGACCACCCCTGAATCGGGTGTTAATTATGAGAATGAGAATGTAACCTTTTTGTAGAACCCTTTACCAAAAACACTTCAACTGATGCCCCGTCAGTCCTGCCTCCTAAAGGTGCTCACGATGACAGACACAGTCCAATGAGAGAGGAATTATCATTCTCCCCACCAGGAAACTGAGCTCCAAAGTGGCTCGATGACTCGGAGTGGATGAGCTGCTTCTGTGATTACAGATGTGTCTGTCTGCCTGCCCTCAGCCTCTCCCTCACCAGATGCTAAAGGCAGCCATGAACCCCTGCTCTTTCCATACATTTGTTTTCACTTAAGAAAGAATTAAATATTTATCATACAGGTTTTGGAAAAATACCAAAAAGAAGAGGGAAGAAAACACATCCCCAGCAGCCCCACCCCACAGGCAGCCAGGACCATCCTGCGGGTGCTGTTCCAAGTCAAGGCAGCTCTCCGCATGGTGATTTGTTTTAGTTGATTGTTTCTGGTCATTTTCCTACACACTGTAGAATTTTACAGCTTGCTCGTCTCACTGAGCGTTATGGCAGAAGCACCCCTCAGCTTCTGTTCCCCCCGCACTGCGTCCCATCACTGTGCGCCTGCTGGGAGATACAGGCTTGTAATCCATGCCGGTCCTGGCCATTCCGCAGCCGCCCAGGATGTAAGATGCAGACCTTCAGCTTCAGCGTTTCAGAACCAGTGCTTTTCTTTGCTTTAATGGGATGCAAATGTCCACCTCCCCATCCAAGCTAGAAAAGAGAGAGAGGTGCTTCCTCCCCGACTTGGATGGCAGAACATATGCTCAGTCGCCTTCCATGCTGCTCCCTTCTGTCTGGAGGGAGGAGAACAGCGTCAGCATGGATTTAATTAATGGTCCATCTCCTCGGTTTGATATCTGCACGTGGTTACCATTGGGTGGTGTCTGTCTCCTGGAGTGCAGGGACCCCATCCTAGAGCGTTGACGCTCTCCTGCAGCGTGTCAACCAGCAGAGAAAGGGGGGACCCAAGGCTTTCACTCATTGATTGATTGACAGCCTTTGGGCGGGGCACTAGGCGCACCTGGTAAAGGATCTGCCAGATGGGACTGTGGTGACTGGAAATGTGAAGGGCTCTGAGAAAGAGGAGTTCATTTAACTTTGTGGTCATTGAGGCCCCAGGAAAAGCCAGCCTACTCAAGCAAGTTATTAACTTGCTGGGTCTCTGAGGCCCTAGAATCCAATTTTGACTTAGTTTTGCCCAGCCCTCCTCTGGCCAGCATCCCGGTGGAGAACAAGGCCTTCGGGCCTGGCAGACTGCAGGCACTGTGGACCACAGATACACACCCATCTGTCCTGAACGTGGCCCTCAGGTTGGAGCTGGCCAGAGAGATTCCAGCATGTGTGAGCTCTGAGCTGGGAACACTGGGGGCAGGGTGGGGGTGGGGAGTATCATCTGGGAGGTTTCAAACACAACCTAGATAGATCACCCAGCAGAGATGCAAACAGAAGGAGGGTTAGAGAGAGAGGAGTTGGGGGTTGGGGGGAAAGGCTGCTTCAAGCTGAGTTGGAGGAGGATGTCAGTGACCGCAATACCTCATCATTCTTAAGAGCGTTGGTAGCATGGTCTTTGGCATCAGGAAAACCGAGGTTGGAAACCCAGCTTTGCTCTGTGCCCTGGGAACATTCACATCCGGAAGCCTCCGTTTGCCCATCCGTAAAAGAGGAAGAATAATGTCTACCTAATAAGGCTGAGAAAGAACTAAATGAAGTTTAAAATGAGGAATGAAGAATTCAATGAGGGAACAAGGCATTTAGCACGTGCCTGGCACACAGTCAGCGTTCGATAAAGTCATCAAACATCAAATGTTATAAATAGTACGATTGTGGCCAAGGCACACTGCCATGCTTTATGTCACTCATCATCCTTTTATCACCTTCTCTGACGAAACCTGTTTTCCTAATCTCTTTCTCCCTCCCTCTTCCTCTTCCTCTTCCTCTTCCTCTTCCTCTTCCTCTCTCTCACCTCCCCCTCTGTGATCAGGGGACATGTTGCAAAGGGACTAGCTGAAACTCATGTAGCCACAGGACCCAACCAAAATTCACGAGTCAGTGTCAGGATCCAGGCTGTCACTTTGCCCTTTTTAAAACAAAATGAACAAAAGACTCTAAAAATAATTGTCAATTCCCAGATCCACCTATAGAAATTGACAGTGTCAGAGCTGGAAGGGCCCTCAGCCTTTATCTGGCCCAGGCAGCCCGTTTGACACAGGGAGAGAAGATGGAGAGAAGAGACCTACACAAAGTTATGCTAGGGAGTAGAGGCCAGAATAGGACCACTGTCCGGATCCCTCAACCCCTGGTTGCACCCAAGCTCTCTGCATCAGGTCTCAGGAGCTAGTTCCCTGACCGATATCTGCCACTCTTTCTGTCCCATCACCCTATTGTCATTCCACAGTCGGCATCAATCGTGATAAAAGTGACGGGGAGCATAAAAGCCACAGCTTTGGGGCAGACCCACATCTGCCCTCATCCTATGAGGCAGATGGAATATCTGTTACATACAGGGGGCTTAATGGACTTGCCCGGGCCCTTGTGGCTTGTAACCGTCAGAGGCAGGATTTGAACCCACGTTCAACTCTGAAACCTCAACACTTCCCACCTTGGACCAGGAAACCTGCTTGGCCCCTGAATGCCCTAGCTCTGCCCTCCGGTCATTCACACATCCTCTCCTCCCCGTGCGCGCTCCTGTCCTGGCACCGCCATCAGCCTGCAGTGCACACTGGCTGATAATCGATGTTACACAACAGGAACATTTGTTGGTGCAGTTGCAAACTGTTGCAGTCTATATAGATTAAGCCACTGCCGCTGACTCTGTGAAAGTAAACGAGTCTTTCCGACGGCGGCAAAGATAAATTTAAATGACAGTGCCGAAGGGCTGGAGACTGTGGCTGAGTGAGTGTCTCTCTACAGCAAATCGACAAGGACAGCTATCTGTCAGAGCACCCTTGTCCCCAGAATATAACTCCTCGCGATCTCGAGGCAGACATCGGGCCCCGTTCTGACTGCTCCAGCTTCCTGCTCAGGGCCGTGTTCCAATGATGAGAGTAAAACTTGTGGCAGCAGCTGGCATGTACTGGGCACTCCCTGTGGGTGAGGCACCCATACGTACTATGTACGTGTGTATGTTTTACGTGCATTGACATATTGAACGAGGACAACCCTGGGAAATAGGGAAGAAAAGCCCCATTTTACAGAAGAAGACAGAGGCTCAGAGCGGTAAAGCCATTTGTCAGCATGCAGTTTGCAGCGTGGGTCTCAAGTCCATGAAGCCGATTTCAGGCAGGAGTCTGCCAGCCAGCTGCCGGGGCCAGACCATATTTAAGGTGACTAGGTGGTTTTACTTTCCAGACAAAAACAAATCAGAAGGAATCGGCAGCGAACACAAGGCCACCAGGGCCTGGCCCAGACCTCCCGACCTCACAGCGTTCTTTGGAATTAGCTTCCGCCTCTGCCCCTGTCCCCTTCGTTCCTGCTGACCTCAGCCAGGCCTCCAGGCTCCTCACACCCCTCTCTTCTGAACCTGCCCCACGATTCTGAACCCTCAAATATTTCTGTGTCTCCCACAAGGTCACTTGTATATTATTTAATTTAAAAAAAAAGAAGAAGCTTGCTCCCTCAGTCCCAGGGCAATAGAGCCCTGAGCCAGGCACGGAGCTAGAAGAAGAGGGTGACTGGTTACGGCCCCTCTGGTCCTCTGAGTGGGATGTCCCTGTGCAGCGAGCAGCCTGCCCGGCTGTGCATGGAGGCCCTGCTCTGCACACTGGGTTAGGGGCCTGTCCTCTCTGTCCTGGTAACAGGCCAAGCTTCTCTCTTTCTAAGCATGTATCGCATTGAATGTGATTTTCTCTACTTTCCTATTGCCTCTCCCGGGACATATGCAGCTGGACTGTGAAACGGTCGTGCCCTGGGCTTCCATGGCCCTAATGCTTAGCTCAGGCCTGGAACGGTCCACCCTGATCTCCATGGTCAGCAAAAGGAGGAAGGGAGAGGAAAAAACGAAGAAGGAAAGGATAGAAGCAGGAGAGAAGGGAGAGGGAGGGACAGGCAGCCCCCATATCTGTGGATCGGCTGTGCCTCATCCTGACCAGCTTTGGAGGCCCCATAGAAGGGCCACCTGAGCCTGAGAGAAGGCAGAGGAGCTAAACCCCCAACCCCAAGCTAACTGGTGCCTTTTCTCCTCTTCCCAAGATGCGCCCCTGGAGGGAGACGCAGGCCCTTCGAGTACGTACCTCCTACCCTCGGGAGCACTAGGGGGTGGCAGTCTGAGCAAAGACAGCCTGGAAGAGAAGGTGACACCCGCCCCTCCCAGCCCAGCGCCGTCCGGGGAAGAGCGTCACGACCCAGAGCTGGACGGGACCACCGCCTCCCTTCGTCCAGACCCCGTGGCCCTGTCCACGCTGCTTCCAGAGGAGCCCAGCACCAAGCTCGCCTCCCTCCCCAGGAAGAAGCTGTCTTCACTCAAGCAGGCCAACTCGTCCAGGAAGCAGCTGCGACCCAAGGCCACCTCCGCCGCAGGCCTCCTGAGGGTGGGGTCCCAGCCTGCATCCCCGGGCCTGGGTCTCCCCTCCTCCGCCACGGAGAAGCCTGGCCCGCCCGGGGACCCCGACCCTGTGGCCTCCGAGGGTGAGGAGACATTTCGGTTGCCATCGTCGGAGGAGCCCCTCTGGCTGGACCGGAGGCGAGGTGCGGTGCCCACGACACCTGCGCCCCTGCAGATCTCTCCCTTCACCTCACAGCCCTACATGGCCCACACGCTCCCCCAGAGGCCGGACCCCGAGGAGCCCACGGTGCCCGATGAGGCCCAGGAGGCTCCTCTTGAGGACGCCAGTCCCATGACCTCGATGGACAAAGGTGAGAATGAGCTGACCGGGTCGGCCTCAGAGGAGAGCCAGGAGACCACGACGTCCACCATTATCACCACCACGGTCATCACCACGGAGCAGGCCCCAGGTATGCGGCCCCCAGCTCCAGCCTCCTGCAGCATCACGGAGGCACCCACAGTGGGCAGGCCATGGATGGGCAGGGAGGGCCAGGCCCCGCCAACCATTACCATCTACCCAACACTAGCTATGAGCTTGATCCTGTGGCTCAGACTCAGTATCCCCATTTTAAAGATGGGACAACTGAGACCCTGAGACATCAAGCAACCTGCCGAAGGCCACACAGCTGAAGAGCGGGATTCAAAGCCTTTCCATCTTGGGAACGCCTGCCTGGAAGGCTGTAGCATGCCTTTGCTTTTACCGTTACATGCACTTCTCTAGACTTGATAAAATGCACTTCCATGGCCCAGCCTTTCTTTTTCTATCTTCTTTTCCATCTTCAAACAGAGACACCAACTGTCCATCCTACGCGGATCTGGACAGATGCAATGTGGTCACTCGTTCAGTAGTATGATCTCTGGGTTTGAACCCTATTGCTGTGTGAGCTTGACCCAGACGCTGCCCCTCTCTGGTCTTTGGTTTACTTATCTTTAAAATGGGGACAAAATATTAGTTCCTACATGGGTGAATGGGGTCAGAATGGTGCCTGGTCCCATGTAGTAAGTGTCAACTAGTGCTCTTTTGATTATCATGTTGATTCTGGAGCTGAAGGAGAATTGACAGCAGTGGGGGGGGGGGGGACACAGGGGAACCCAGGTTTCCCCTGAGGCCCTATTCCACCCGAAGCCCCTCTGAGACGTCCCATCTGAGCTCTTGTCTGCGTCCTGATTCCAGTGCTTTCCTCCAGCTCTCTGCAGTGTGAGCCTCTCAGATCCCGAAGGCTACATCGACTCCAGCGACTACCCGCCGCTGCCCCTCAACAGCTTCCTTGAGTGCACGTACAACGTGACGGTCTACACTGGCTACGGGGTGGAGCTCCAGGTAACCCAGAGAGGCCCCTGAGTGGCTGCCTTTCCCACAGGAAGTCTCCGAGCGATCGTCTGAGTCAGGCTTACTGTTAACATCCTGGCTAGTTTGGTTCTCTTGTTGCCCTCACCAGGGCAATTTGAGCCAGGCTTTGATGACTGAATAGGAGTTCCTAACTCGGTGCACAGCTGAGATAGCTTAGCACACATGAAGGGAAGGGAACCTGTTGACAAATTGGAGGCATTATACCCAGGAGTCTTCTGATATCCTGCTTCTCTCTCTCTCTCTCTCTCTCTCTCTCTCTCTCTCTCTCTCTCTCTCTCTCTCTCTCTCGGAAGCCCCACCTAGTGCATTTGATTCATAAACCTTTGCTGCAAACTCAGATGGAAAACCAGGGTGACATAGTGCTCCAACATCTGGGTTTGGGGGTCTCAGCTCTACTAGTTAAAGCTGCATGACTTTGGGCAAGGGGCTGCCCTTCAGCTTGGCTTTCCTCTGTCCCATTGACTAGGGGCTGGTTGCAGGTGCTGCATTGGCAGCCTGGCAGCCTCCGAGGGCCACGGCTCAAACCTGACTCGGTTTCTCTGTGTCTACCCCTGACTGTCCCCAGGTGAAGAGTGTCAACCTGTCTGAGGGGGAGCTGCTCTCCATCCGTGGGGTGGACGGCCCCACCCTGACCGTCCTGGCCAACCAGACGCTCCTCGTGGAGGGGCAGGTGATCCGAAGCCCCACCAACACCATCTCCGTCTACTTCCGCACCTTCCAGGACGATGGCCTGGGCACCTTCCAGCTGCACTACCAAGGTAGGATGTCGCCGTCTGCCTCAGTTTCCCCCTGGAGCCAAAGATTCTCAAACTCTTTCTCCTGGGGGGGGGGGGGAACCACCCACCTTTACAGTTTGATAAAAACTTATAGACCCCTTTTCAAAATAATATTTTTAAGAGCATTAAAAGACAATCTCAATGAAAAAGGAAGCCAGTCATATTGAATTACAGCTGTCAAAACATTATTTTCATCTCTGGTGTCATAATCTATGTACTTCTTTAACACAGTAAATAATAAAACCTCCTGGCAGTTCTGGTAAATGCTGGAATTTCAAGGTACTGAGATGTTCGTGCAGGAGGGGCTACCCCCGCTTGGGCAATACCGCCCCTTCTATGCGCAAGGAGAAGCCATTCTAGGTCCATGTGGAGAGGGGCTCAAACGAGGTTTGGGAACTCATTGTTCACCCCAAACTTGTTGCCTCTGGTTAGGCAGGGTTAGGGGATCTTTGTACCTAGAAAGGGTGCTCACCTGGCTTGTCTTGGTGCCATAGGGCCAACAAGAGACACAGAAATGCCCCCTGCAGCTCTCCGGAGCCACCAGGGACCCCATCTTTCCTCCCCAGCACACACTGGCTCCCAGGGTGTGGGTCCTGTTCTTTAGCTCTGCCCCTGGGAGGTGACTGTCTGCCTCTGCATTTCTCCCCAGCCTTCATGCTGAGCTGCAGCTTCCCCCGCCGGCCGGACTACGGGGACGTCACCGTGATGGACCTGCACTCGGGCGGGGTGGCCCACTTCCACTGCCACCTGGGCTACGAGCTCCAAGGCGCCAAGACGCTGACGTGCATCAACGCCTCCAAGCCCCACTGGAGCAGCCACGAGCCCATCTGCTCAGGTACCCGCCAGCCTCGGCTGGACCAACAGGGATGGCTCGGGAGGAGGGGCGAGACCAACGCCCAGGGCATTAAGACTGACCTCAGGAAAAGGCTCTCACCCGCACGAGAGATTGCACCAAATGCAGATGACCGCTGCCACTTACGGTTGCATTATGTGGTAAATGACACGTCACGTGAACTTCACCATTAGTGACATTTAGTGCATTCACAGTACTGTGCCACCATCACCGCTGTGTAGCTCCAGAACACCTTTATCACCCCCAAAAGGAAACTCTGTCCCCGTTAGCAGGCACCCCCTTTCTCTCCTCCCCCTCCATCCTGGCCACCACCAATATGCTTTGTGTCTCCACGAATTTGCCTATTCCGGACATTTCATATCAATGGAATCATATCATATGTGATCTTTTGTGACTGGCTTCGTTCACTTAGCATATTGTTTCAAAGGTTCATCCATGTTGTAGCCTATGTCAGAACTTTATGCCTTCTTACGGCTGGATTATAGTCCATTGTATAGAGAGACCACCTTATATCATGTTCATTCATTGGTAGACAGTTGTTCCCACTTTGGGCTATTATGAATCGTGCTGCTGTGAACATTTGTGCACGAGTTTTTGGGAGTACATATGTTTCCATTTCTCTTGGGTATGTACCCAGTAGTGGAATTGCTGGGTCCTATGATAAGTCTACGTATAACCTTTTCAGGAACCATCAAACTATTTTCCACAGTGGCTGCACCATTTTACATTTCCACCAGCCAGCCACGTTCAAGAGTACCAATTTCTCCACATTCCCGCTAACACTCGCTATTGTCCATGTTTTCTTTTTACTGTCATAGCCATCCTAGGGGGTGTGAAGGAGTATCTCGTGTGGTTTTGATTTGCATTTCCCTGATGGCTAATAATATTATTGAGCATCTTTACATGCTCATCTTTACTAACCATTTGTACATCTTCTAGGAGAAATGTCTATTCAAGTCCTTTGCCCATTTTTTTATTTGGTTGGTTGTCTTGTTGTTGTTGAGTTGAAAGAGCTCTTTATATATTCTGGCTGCGAGACCTTTATTAGATATATGATTTGCAAATATCTTCTCCCACTCTGTGGGTTGTCTTTTCTTGTCTTGCTAGTGTCCTTTGATGCAAAAAAAAAAAACCCTAACTACCCATTTTTAATTTTGATGAAGCCTAATGTATCTATTTATTCTCTTGTTCTTGTGCTTGTGGTGTTCATGCTGCTATATTTCGAGCCCAGTCAGTATGTACTGAGCACCATGCCAGGGCTGCAATAAATCCTCAAGGAATCCTATGTGGTAGAACCATTATCCCCATTATACAGATAAGGAAACTGAGGCTCATGGAGGTGAAGGCACTTGGCCAAAGCCACCAGACAGCCATTGAACTGAATCCAGAACCCTTCTCTACTGAGCTCTTTCCCTTTCTACACCTTCACCACACAAAGTGCGGTCTGCAGACCAGCGAGATGACTCAAAATGCACAATCCTGGGCTTCATGCAGGACCAACTGCATCAACATCTGCACCTTCACATGCCCCTGCGTCATTCGTGTGCACATTGTAGACTGCGAGGCACTGGGCTATACCACACTGTTCCTGCACCAGCGGACAAAACCTCAGCTAACAAAACAGCAAAACCCTATTAGGTTCAGAAGTCCTGAAGGTGACCCGGAGAGCACAGGCTGCCATATTAACTGAGTGCCTACTATGTGCCAGGCCCTGAGCCATGTACAAGGAGAATACTTGGAGCAATAAACATAACTCCTGCCCTCCAGGCATTCATGATCAGCAGAATTCAAAAAGCAAATGAGTGCTGATAATAAATCCTGAGATTTCATTGTTGCAGTATTGTTCCCCCAAGGCCCTTCAGAATTTTTCTTCTTTTTAACAAAGAAAAAAAAAACCCAAACCATAGGGCAGTTGGTCTCTGCACCTCCCTCACGCTAATTTTTATCTATGTGTGAAATCAAGGAGGAATTAAGCCTCAATTTGTGCTAAGAAAGATGGATGTAGAGCCAGGGCTGGCAAAATGAAACCAAACAGAGCTATCTGTCGGCTTAATAAGGCAAGAAAGGGGAACAGAGAGGCAGCAAATGAGGGGCACCCTGGAGAGGACAGATGGCCTGCGCCCCCAGCATGGACAGTGTCCTCCACCTCCTTAGCTCCTGAGCCATGGGACGATGATGCTGGCTGTGTTTTGAGCTCCTCTGTGCCAGGGACTACACCAATCATTTCATTCGTTTCTCACCACGGCTACTTATTAAGGAGGGTGGAATTATTATCCCCATTTTACAGTGAACTCAAGGTTCAGAGAGCTTCCGTAACTTGTCCCAGATCCACAGCAGGTACCTGACACAGGCCAGGCTTGAACCTCCAATTTAGGCAGGAAGGCAGCCGGGAGAGAGACAGGGACACGGTGCTCTGTCCGTGGTGCTAAAAGGAGAGCTGGGCTTCTGGGCAATGTTATTGCTTGAAGTCACTGCCGAGTCTCCTATTGCAAGTTCTCATTAGTCACTTGAAAACCATTTAATGAGAACCAAGTATCTCTTAAGACTAAGAATAGGCCTACCTCTTTTTTAAAAATATATTTTATTGATTTTTTACAGAGATAAAGGTAGAGGAATAGAGAGTTAGAAACATCGATGAGAGAGAAACATCGATCAGCTGCCTCCTGCACACTCCCCACCGGGAATGTGCCCGCAACCAAGGTACATGCCCTTGACCGGAATCGAACCTGGGACCCTTCAGTCCGCAGGCCAACACTCTATCCACTGAGCCAAACCAGTTAGGGCAGGCCTACCTCTTTACACTTGTACAACTCTTCCCAATTCATAAATCATTTTTTAGTATTTATTAGATTTTTATGATAAAAGTATTATATGGTTCTGCTAAAAAAATGTGTATATGTATATGTATATATTTTAATCCTCACCCAAGGACATGCTTTTTTATTTATTTTAGAAAGAGAGAGGAAGGGAGAGGGAGAGAGAGAGAGAGACATTGATGTGAAAGAGAAACATCGATCGGTCAACTCCCACATGCACCCCAACCAGGGATTGAACCCCACAACCTGGGTATGTGTGCTGACTGGGAATCGAACGTGTGATCTTTCGGTGCATGGGACAATGCCCAACCAAACTGAGTCACACTGGCCAAGGCTAAAAAAGCTTTTCTTCAAGAAATACAAAAATATAGAATATAGGAGCAAGTCACTTTTATATTTATGGTCTCGATTGACCCTTGCATATAGCTCATTGAAATAGTTATGGCAGACCGTTTTCTAGATTTTTTTTTTTTTTTACTTAAAGCATAGTAGCCTTTTCCTATATTCTCAACTATTTTTTGAGGACACAGTTTCTAAAACTGTACGAATGGAATGTATTTATTTACCGAGCACCTGTGAGTAGACATTCATGTTGGTTATCCTGTTTTGGCTCTTAGGAAAAAAATCTACGCCCTAACCGGTTTGGCTCAATGGATAGAGCGTCGGCCTGCGGACTGAAGGGTCCCAGGTTCGATTCCGGTCAAGGGCATGTACCTGGGTTGTGGGCACATCCCCACTGGAGGGTGTGCAGGAGGCAGCTGATCGATGTTTCTCTCTCATCGATGTTTCTAACTCTCTATCCCTCTTCCTCCCTCTCTGTAAAAAAAATCAATAAAATATATTTTTTTTAAAAAAAGAAATCTAGCTGTGGACATCCTCATCCATACACTTCTGTGAAAACCTCTAAGTCTCTTCTTAGCATAAATTCCCAGAACCTCAATTACTAGGTCAAAGCATTTCGAAATACTTTCTAGATTTTTCACCAAATTGCTCTCCTGAAAGGTCATGCAATTTGCCTCCTGACCAGTCCTGAATGAGGGTAACCATTTTCCCTCACCTTCCCTCATCTCTGGTTTATTGCTACTCTTTACCTTGACCAATTTGGTGGATGAAAATAGAATAGAGTTTAGAATGACATTTCTTTTGTTATTGGTGGGGGCTGAATGTTTTAGGGCTTACTGAGTACTCAAAGCATCTATCTGTTGTAAACTGCCTATTTATGTCTTTCTGATGACCCTTTTGTAATGAAGAACCAGGGCACAGCCAGCACCATAGAAGCATCCTTAAATCACAGTCCTTCCCTACCATGAGACACACATGGTGATGGTTCACATCATGGAATGACATCTCCTGTCAAACAGGATGAACCCCACCCAGCAGGCCAGGGCTTCTCCATGGTCTGTCTCTCTCTTCCCACCCTATTTGTTTCTCCCAAGAAAGGGTAGGGCTGGAGGTCAGGGGAGGATGGAAAACTGACTCTCTCTCCCTCTCCCTTCTCCCTCTCCCCTCTCTCGCCTTCTGCCCCAGCCCCATGTGGAGGGACTGTGCACAACGCCACCATCGGCCATGTCCTCTCTCCAAGTTACCCTGGCAGCGCCAACGGGAGTCAGTTCTGTGTGTGGACGATCGAAGCCCCCGAGGGCCAGAAGCTACACCTTCACTTTGAGAGGCTGTTGCTGCATGAGAAGGACAGGTAAACCTCCGAGGGTCCCCGCAGATAGCTTACGAGATCGTCAGCTTTGATTTCTTCCTTTCCCAGGTGAGGAAGCGAGGGCCCGCCGAGGGAAAGGGCTTGCCCTGGGCAGCACAAGGACAGCACAGCAGGCAAGGAAAGAGGCAAAAGGGAATCTAGACCGCCCCGCCCCCCTGTCTCCTGTCTCCTCCTTCTTTCTCCTGAAAATCCCTTTTTGCACTTGAACAGGGAAAGAGTGTTCTTTCAGCTCCTGCTCTGTGCCCAGTCACATACGCGGCTTCATGGAGAACAGGGAAATTAGAGGTTATAGGTTCCTGGTAGAGTAAGAAGCTGACATGAAAAAACTCGACTTAGGCACGTGAAAGAACTAGGGAGAAGTCACCAGGCAGTATCTAAGGGAGAGCATGTCTGTAGACTCTAAGCCAGTGGTTCTCAATCTTCCTAATGCCACGACCCTTTAATACAGTTCCTCATGTTGTGGTGACCCCCAACCATAAAATTATTTTCATTGCTACTTCATCACTGTAATTTTGCTACTGTTATGGATCATAATGTAAATATCTGATATGCTATATGTGTTTTCCGATGGTCGTGACCCACAGGTTGAGAACCGCTGCACAATATACATGGAAGCCAGAATCTTAACACTGTAGCATTCTGTGACCTTATGCTAGAATATTCTTGAATGTTCTTGAAATCTAGGACCTTAGCTGCTTAGGCTTGCTGTCTTGGGTTTGGTTCCCTTGGAAACAGAGATGCGACAAGGATGTGAGGAGAAGTCGTTGACTTGGGAGTTGATCCTAGAATATACTGGTAGAGGCATGAGAAGGTGAGCAAGGGAGGAAAGGGAGTCAGCACAGGATGCACTAATAAGCAGGTGGCTGTGTGGGCACGTGGGGCTCTGTCCACTGGGGATCCTGGGAAACTGTGTTGAGCATTGTCAGAGTGGTCCTTCTGGAGGGGCAGGGAGCTGGGCTACTTACCTACCACCCCATCCATCACTGGATGAAGGATGCTCCCGGACACACAAACTCCCTGGCATTGCCTTCCACCCTTGGAGCTACTGAGCTGGCTGGTTCTCAGAGACTTTGGATAAAAATCCAGCAGAAACTTTGTGAGCCCTGCGTGCTGAGGGGATATGGGAAGAGTGCTGACAGCATTTACTGGTGGATGGATCAGACTGTGATCTTAGAATTATAGTGTCTGGGCTTCTTTGACATTTCAAACCAAGACCATTAACCTCATTGGGTAGGAAGGGATTCTTATAGAAAACACCAGACAACTAGTAACTTACCCATTCTTGAGTCCACTTCCTGCCAAGTAGTCCAGCTTTACCCTGAACAACTCCATACCAATAAGTCCCAGCTTTAACTGTAGGGTGCAGGAATGGGGCATCTTGGTAGCATCTGAATGACTCTTTAAAAGTCTGGAGACTCTTGAAAAACAGATTCCCAGTCTTTCCTTCTGGAGACGGATTGAGAAGCCAAACCTGGGAACTCTGGGAAAAGGACACGTTCTAAAACGTAGACCCTGGCTCTGCCTCGTCTGAATGGTAGCGGGGGTAAGCCAAGTTTGCATTTTATAGACCAGAATGTGGGCAGGAAGAAAAAAAGTCAATCAAATGAGTATTTTCTGGAAGTTATTGAAATCATGGTCAGTGAGCCGCCACGCTGGCACTGTAGCGTCACTGGTGGTTTCTATGGGGCCCTGCCAAGGTCTGCAGAGGTAGGAGCTGACAAACACCAGGGAAAACCAGTTCTCAAGTGTGTCCATGGGGAGGGAAGTTTGTAGTGGTTCAGGGGGTTTAAAAGTCAACACACGCATACAGTGCAACACTTGTTATGCTAAGAAGAAAGGAACAATTAAATGTTATTCGTTCCATATATTTGCTCAAGGGGGGAAAAGCTAATATAACACAATATTTAAGTTGCAGGAGCTTAGCGCTAGATAGGAAATGGGACCTGATCTAACCTTGGGAATAGCAGAGAATATAAATTGGGGTCATATGTTGAAGGGCTTTGAATGCCCGACTGCTTCAAGAGAACCATGGAAGGCTTTTGAGTAGAGGATGTGCATAAAGAAAGGTTTAAAGATAACCCTTCCCCACCCCCCAAAAAAATGAAGTCTTTCTAGGATTCATATTTTTTTTAAATGAAGTCTTTCTAAACTCCAGTTCCATGATATGCAGCATGAAAGGTGGGTTCTCTGGTCAGACATGTTTGGGAGACACCATATACCCTATCCCTGTCTTGGAAGGTACCAATGTGCATTAGCCAGCAAAGGCACTGGCAAGTCCTGCAGGAAACAGATGTTTAATTTCTATTTAGCCCAGCATTTTCCAAACCCATTTGACTACAGACTACATATGGTTTTGAGACATTCGAAAGAACATAACTAGAAAATTGCTATTTGGGGGAGATTAAGAGGCTACCAAGATTCTGAGACCTTGAGGTTTTCCCCCGAGTGACCTCCTTTGTCAAAGGCTTTAGTTCTTTGAAAGATGATTCCTGGGGCATGGCCCCCAAGATACAACAGAGTCAGCAGGGATCAGAAGACTGTGAAGGGGCTCCTCCTCACTCTTGGGTATAAATTAATCGGTATCAGCTAATTAGCTTGGTTTATTCCATCAGACACATCGCTTTCCCTATAACCTCAGAATCAATCTGTGAGTCTAGGACAAGCTTTCTGCAGAACACGAAACAGCTTCCATAACATAAGGCAGCTTGTCTGGGCAAGTAAGGGGCCAAGCTGGGATTTAAATCTGGGAATGAGAGGGGCTCCATGCACACCCCTCCGGCTGCTGTGTCGGTGCCCCGAGAAGACCTCTCAGGCCTCCTCTCCTTTCCCACCGTCAGGATGATGGTCTACAGCGGGCTGACCAACAAGTCCGCTCTTCTCTATGACTCCCTTCACACCGAGAGCGTCCCCTTCGAGGGCCTGCTGAGCGAGGGCAGTAGCATCCGAATCGAGTTCACGTCCGACCAGGCGCGGGCAGCCTCATCCTTCAACATCCGGTTCGAGGGTGAGGGAACACGGGGGCCTCCCCCTCTCCTGGGATGGTGGTGCGGGATCGGGGGAAGCATGGCGGGGCTGGGCTGGGTCCTGGGAGGTAGAAACCTGGCTGTCCAAAGACAGGGGAGACCCTGTGACCAAACTGACCCCTGGATTTCTAGTAACAACGCCCACCACTTACTGAGCACTTACTCTGCGCCCAGTGTCTTATGCCCGTGTGCATGTGATGTTTGCCACGCTGTAACGTGAGAGGTGTTGCTATCTTTGAGGTGAGTACACTGAGGTGAGGGAACTTGAGTTAGAAGAAAACGGAGGTAAGGCTCTGTCCATCTTGAGTCTGGATCCCTAAGCTCGCTCTGCTCAGTGAGACCTCTCAGGGTCCAGCCACCCCTTCCGCCAAGAATCGGTAGCCAGGGCCTCTCCTGCTCAGTCCTGGCCCTTTAAGAAAGGATGCCCTTGGGGAACTTTCTGTCCCATCTTCCCTAAGAAAAGTTGGTCTTTCTCTTGGACAGACTTACAGTTTCAAGTGGCAGAAATTGGGGCTCTTAGTTATGGGACATGGGAAGAATCCATATGGGACAGAAAAAGGAATTTAAACACAAAAACGCTGCAGGGTTGGGAGGGCAGAGAGTCTTAGTTCTATTTTAAATGTGAAAAACAGTGAGACCCGAGACACCAAATGAATGGCCCCTGGACCCAGATCACAGGGTCTGGTCCCGTTTTCTTCGGCGCGTCCCCAAATGTGAGGAAGGGACCATCTTCCTGAGAGGCAGCCTGGGAGCCGTCCTGGACTCATCTGAGCTGCTGCCCCCTGTGCTCCCCCTCCCCAGCCTTTGAGAAAGGCCACTGCTACGAGCCCTACATTCAGAATGGGAACTTCACCACATCCGACCTGACCTATAACATCGGCACCATAGTGGAGTTCACCTGCGACCCCGGCCACTCCCTGGAGCAGGGCCCGGCCGTCATTGAGTGCGTCAACGTGCGGGACCCGTACTGGAATGACACGGAGCCCCTGTGCAGAGGTGAGTGGCCCACCGCCCGCCTCCTGGGGCTCCTGGGCACCTCCACCCCCCAGATGGAAAAAGCAAGGTGAATGGTTACAGGCCTGTCACCACTTTACTTACCAATTTTAGGAGCAGAACCCTTTCCAGGACTCCTGTCCTGTGGGTGAGGTTTGCTGCTTGTCCTTGAAAAAATCGACAATTTTTAAAAATGTTTTTATTGCCGAAACCGGTTTGGCTCAGTGGATAGAGCGTTGGCCTGCGGACAGAAGGGTCCCAGGTTCGATTCCGGTCAAGGGCATGTACCTGGGTTGCGCGCATATCCCCAGTGGGGGATGTGCAGGAGGCAGCTGATCGATGTTTCTCTCTCATCGATGTTTCTGGCTCTCTATCTCTCTCCTTTCCTCTCTGTGAAAAATCAATAAAATATATATAAAAAAATGTTTTTATTGATTGATTGCTATTAGAGTAAGGAAAGTGGGGAGAGAGAGAGAGAGAGAGAGAGAGAGGGAGAGAGAAACGTTGATTTGTTGTTTCACTTATTTATGCATTTATTGGTTGATTATTGTATGTGCCCTGACAGGGGATCGAACCTGCAACCTTGGCGTATCGGAACAATACTCTAACGAACTGAGATACCTGGCCAAGGCAAAATCAATACATTTTCTTTTTCTAATAAACAAAAAAAAAATCAAAATTATTGCACAAGCACCATGTCATTAAACAGTTTCTCAGTGAATGACTTTAGATTCCTGTAATCCTTGAAACTTAGACCTAAAAGAGACTTTCAAAGTCGCACAGTGCAATGTAAATGTTTCAAAACCAACTTCATCAATGTAGCTGATGAGCAGTAAAGGTCATTGGGAAAATATGGGAAGACAAAAGCCACGCCCAGTCCCATTACCCATTACGTAAAATCACCCCCAATGCGTGTCCTTCCTTCCAGCCCACCTGCCATGCAAAGGTGGCTTGTTTTACAAAAACACTAGAGGCCCGATGCACGAAATTCATGCAAGAGTAGGCCTTCCTTCCCCCGGCTGCCAGCACCGGCTTCCCTCTGGCACCTGGGACCCAGGCTTCCCTCGCAGCCCCAGCTTCGTCTGGAAGGACAGACGTCCGGTCTAATTAGCATATTATGCTTTTATTATTATAGATTAACTGTAATGATACTGGATATGCAATATTTATCATGAAAATTGATCAGTTTTAAGAGGTGCCTCTTTGTCCAGGCACAGAGGTGCAGCTTAGTGACAAGATCTCTACATAGATTTCAGCTCCTAGGCGCCCCCTCCATTATGTATTCCTGTGCAGTGCACAACCACCCCCCAACCCAGCAGTCCCGAGCCCAATTATTAGTAATGGTGATAATGACAGTTGTTAATAGGAGTGCAAAACCTGTGCTCCAGGCACTCTGCCAAGGGCTGTATGCGATTACCTGATTTAATCCTCACTGCAACCCCTCCTGTGGCCCCATTTATAGAGGAGAAAACTGAGGCTGCCCAGTGACATGCCTAAGGACACGAGGAGGGTAACTGGCAGGGGCGGGATTGGCACTCAGGTCTCCCTGTGCTCTGAGCCCCTCTGGACAGCATTGGCTTATAGGACCTCCTCTACGCAGGCCCCAGTGCTCTGCCCTCCCCATTTCCCAGATTCAGGGCGGCTGAGCCACCCGAGCCTGGATCCCTGCGGAGCCTGGGAGTAATGAAGAGAACCCTCGCTCCTGGCAGCCGCCACCTGGATGGTGGTTGGCGTGAAATAACAGCCCCACGTGGTGAGGGATTGATCTCTGTATTAAATGTGCTGGTTTAACAGAGCGGAATTTATTGGTGCTTTGGCCTCTGCCACACTGAGAACTTTCCAACGCGGTAAACACAGAGTGGAATTTAAAGGGCCAGGCGCCAGGTATGGTCATATCTCTGCCTCCAGTTCAGAGACGGGGTCTTTCACAGCTGATTAATGATGAATTACTGAGCACTTTACTCGTGCCAGGCACTGTGCTATGTTCGACACCCATGAGTTCAGTTATGCTCCAGAATAACCCAGTGACGTCAGCAGTGGTGTTACCCCGGCTTCACAGAGAAAGGAAACTGAGGCTCCAAGAAGTTACCTGCCTTGTCACACAGTGTGTTGATGTCAGAAGCAAGGCTCAAATCCGGGTCCACATGACCTGAATGCCCCATGTCTTAGCCACTACTGACTCTGAGACAAGAAAGAACTGGCTATTGAGGCTTCCTTCAGCCCTGTGAGCTCTGTCCTTGGTCCTGAAAGAACTATAGCCTTGTCTTCACCAACCCCCATTAGAGGAGGCAGGTGGCCAGCCCTAATTTAATCTCCCCACAGACATGTGTGGACATCCTGAGGTGAAGGCACCTGTTCACCAAACATGGCAAGCCATGGCTGTATAACTTCACACTCTTTAAAAAAAAAAAAAATATATATATATATATATATATATATATATATATATATATATTTATTTATTATTGATTTCAGGGAGGAAGGGAGAGAGACATAGACACATTAATAACTAGAGGCCCAGTGCATGAATTGATGCACAGGTGGGGTCTGGCCCAGCCAGGGGGAAGGGGACACGGGAGGTTGGCCAGCCGGCCCTGCCCCCTGATTGAACTCCCTGTTGAACTCCTGGTCAAACTCCCTGTCAAGGGGACAATTTGACAATTAGGCTTTTATTATATAGAATGAGAAGGAATCATTGATCAGTTCTTCCTGCACACCCCCTACTGGAGATCAAGCCCACAATCTGGTCATGTGCCCTGACTGGGAATCGAACTGTGACCTCTGGTTTGTAGGTTGATGCTCAATCACTGAGCCATGCTGGTGGGGCAATAGCCCACGCTCTTAACCGCTATGCCATAGTGACTTCCTCATAAATAAAGTGTGTCTGTCTATGTCTTTTACAGCCATGTGTGGTGGGGAGCTGTCTGCTGTGGCTGGGGTAGTGCTGTCCCCGAACTGGCCAGAGCCGTATGCGGAAGGTGAAGATTGTATATGGAAGATCCACGTTGGGGAGGAGAAACGGATCTTCTTAGATATCCAATTGTGAGTGTTTATTGGTGGACCCCCACCCCACCCCAACTCATCCAGACTTAGGAAGAAATTGGTCCTGCTTTATTATTTCAGCCAATATTAAATAAGCATCTACTATTTGTCAGGGGCTGTGCAAAGAACTGGGGTCCCAGTGGTGAAGGAAACAACCTCATACACACAGAGAGAAAGCCCCTATGCTCAGGAAATTCTGACTACTAAAGAAGCAGGCACTAAATGAGGAAATAAACCAATAATTGTGTACTATAACTCTGATCACTGATGTAAAGGATAGGTGTGTGGTGCTATGAGATTCTGTAATGGAGATGTGATATAAAGAGAAAGATCAGGAAGGCCTTCCTTGGGGATTTGATGCTAAAGCTCAGAACTAAAGGATGGGTTGGAGTGGTGCACCCACAAGGAACAGAACATGCAAAGGCCCTGTGGCCAGAGCAAACACAGCATTTCAAAGGACTGACTGTCTGGGGTTGCCAGGAGGAGGAGGGTTCTGTAACACAGACTCTCTGTGTTGCAGTAGTTTACTTCCTGTCTGTCTCTCTCAACTACACCAGCAGGTCCTTGCAGTCAGAGCCTGGTCTGACTAAACTCTGTTCTAGGGTCTAAGACAGAGCATGACACATACTAGATGCTCAGTAAATGGTTTCTCAATGAAGAAATGCTATATGAATGGACTTACTGGCTGTGTGGCTGTTTCCTGTACTCATTGATGGTACCTTTTGGATGTTCCAATTAAAACGCCCCCCACCAATGCCCCATGGCTGGTGTTTGCACACAGTAGGTGCACAGCCTGGTAGGGACATGGAGAAAAAGCTTTCCTGAGAAAGTAGCATCGAAGTCAGGGGTAATGTTGTCCCCAGGGGGGCACTTGACAGTATCTAGAGGCATTTCTGGTTGTCAAAATTGATGATGGGCGGGAGAGCTACCGGGATCTAGTGAGAAGAGTTCAGGGATGCTGCTGAGCATCCTACACTGCACAGGACAGCCTCACCACAAAGAATTAGCCAGCCCCAAATGGCCATCATGCTAAACTAGAGAAACCCTCATCTATGCCGAGACCTGAAAGACAGAAAGAAGATGGGCAAAGATGGATGGGAACAGTGTTCCAACCCAAAGGAATAGCATGTGCTAAGTAAGGTCCAGAAGCAGGAAAGCACCATGCTCTTCTCCTTTGTCCATGATCTCAAACATGTGCTGAACACATAGTGCATCCCAGGCCTTCACATCCTGGGTGCCTCACAACAAGCACATGCAGTGGGTTCCATGATTAGCTCCATTTTACAGATGAGTAAACTGAGGCTCAGAGAGATGGAAGACTATGATCACCTGGCTGGGAACTGGAGGGGCTAGGATTCACACCCGGCTGGCTGGGTCTCTAGGGCCTAGGAGGAAGCCCTGTGTTTCCGGAGCTCAGTGATATAGGAGGCAGCAGTGGAATCAGGCAGGGCCATGAAGGTCGCACTGGAGAGTCTGGATTCGCCCTAATTGGGTAGCAGAGGAAGGGCGTTAAGCAGTTAACAGGATTAAAACTTTGGCGAGGGCAGCCCAGTCCTCCAGTCACCAGCCCAGGGCTTTCTCTGGCAAACTCTGGCACACACTTGGCAGAGTGGCATCTGGACTTGGCACCCTCTTCCTCCCCCAGAGGGAGTGAAAATAGCATCTCACCAGCGAGGGTTACGTGAGGCCCGAGAGCTGCTGGGTTTAATTTATCTCGTTTGGTTTCCGCTGACAGTTTTAGTAAACCAATTTGAGTTTGATAGTAAAAATAATTTTGTCCTCAGGGCCCCTCAGCCCTGCCTAAGTGTTTGCAATTGTTATGTATCACAGTGGCCCGGAAGGAAGCATTTGCACTGCAAACCGAGGTGGGTAGGTGGCCCACAGTAGGCGCTGGGCAGTGTTTGCTGAGTCATGAGGACATAGCCACGTGTGCCCAGCACATGGGGACTTTTTTCCTCCCTCATCTGGGCAGGTCTGTTGATACTATGGGCATTTAAGATAATGGTTCTAATGAGTCACTATTTATGTGGGACCTACTATGTGCTGGGTAGTTTATATCCATGAGCAATAATGAATGTGCACATTATTATGTAGAGATAATAATGACATAATTTAAAGCTAATGTGAGAAGAGATCGTTATAGAGGGGTGATCACCCGATTTGGAGATAAGGTATGCAGAACACATTGCATGGGATCTGGCACATAGTGGGAGCTTCATAAATGGAGATCACGGTTACCAAGAATCCTTGTAAGACAGATATTACCATCATTATGTTGTGGATGTGGAGCTGACAGCACAGAGAGGTTAAGTGGCTTCCTCAGGTCACACAGCCAAGAAAAGACAGAGCCAGAGTTTGCACGCACCGAAGCCTCCACTTCCATTGACTTAAACAGCCTTTGGGGGACTAGCTATATGTCTGTGATGAAGCAAGGGGCTCCCGGACATCGCTCGAGTTCAGGAAGAGATGTAGGGCCATAAATAAACAAGGTGAGAAGCTGTGGATGGCGGGGTGGGGATGGGGCTATAGCGGGACGCTGGATTTACCTCGGCGGGTTGTAGAAATGTCACAAAGAGGGCGACATCCAAGCAGAATCTTGAGTGTTGGTCAAGCTGCAGTGGAGACAGGGCCTTCCAGGAGGGGCCCATGAGAGCAAAGGATTCAAGCAAGTGCGAACAGTGAATGTTAGGTGCCCAATGGATGCCCGGAATTGCAGCAGCAATTAGGATCATCTGCTTTGCATTACTGGTTTGGCGGTGGGAACAGGTGCACAATCTTAAAATGAGCCAGGAGCCCCCAGGCTAAACCTCCGCACCCCAAATACCTAGTCCCTAACCCTCCATGAACCTCCCAGCGCCATCAGGGGATCTGCCACTTAACGCTAAAACACAACTGAGCGTGACCTTTAAATCCTTAGGGATATGTCAGATATCCATCTGTCTTCTGTCTGTCTGTCTGTCTCAAAATAAAGCACAGAATGGCAAATAAAACAACTAAGGAATTGTTGGTGAAGACATCAAAGAATGGAAGACCTGGGAGGGGCCCAGAGAGGGAGGTGGCTTACCCGGCATCACACAGCAAGTCAGAGTTAGGACCAAATAGACAACTGAGCGTGACCTTTAAATCCTTAGGGATATGTCAGATATCCATCTATCTTCTGTCTGTCTGTCTCAAAATAAAGCACAGAATGGCAAATAAAACAACTAAGGAATTGTTGGTGAAGACATCAAAGAATGGAAGACCTGGGAGGGGCCCAGAGAGGGAGGTGGCTTACCCGGCATCACACAGCAAGTCAGAGTTAGGACCAAATAGACAACTGAGCGTGGCTGCAGGAGCTGAGCACAGAGGCCACAGCCTTGAAAATGCCATGTGGCCTGGGAGCTGCCGAAGCTTCCAGAGTCCAAAAGAGCTGCCAGGAAATCCCGACTCTGCTGCTCACCAGCTCTGTGGCCTCCGGGGGGGGGGGGGGGGGGGAGGGCGGTGCTACCTGCCTCACTTTATTCCCAGAGCCAGGCACCTAGTAAGTGCTCAGTAAATATCTATTAAATTTTTACAAGGGAGATGGTGAGTGTGGAAGTTAACCAGATAGGCAAAGGTCTTAGTAAGGTTTCTGACATAAAATAAACAAATACCCTCAGCTAACTCTAGTTTCACACACACACACACCATTATATGCCAGGTTTTATGCTAAACACTTGGCGTGCATTATTTCAGGGATGATGTTGGCCATTGTAGTATCACCATTGAAATCAATGTCTGATGTTCATTGAGCATCTACTGTTTGCCAGTTACTGTGGCAAGTCATTTAACTCTTACAGAGAAACCTATGTGATATCACTGTGCCCAGCCCCCTTTTATAAATAAGGAAACCAAGGCTTAGAGAGGGGAAGTCACACAGCCAAGGTCACGCAGCTAGGAAGAGGCCAAGTCAAGACTTGAACTCAGGCCCTAATCGGTTTGGCTCAGTGGCTAGAGCGTCGGCCTGCGGACTCAAGGGTCCCGGGTTCGATTCCGGTCAAGGGCATGTACCTTGGTTGCGGGCACATCCCCAGTAGGGGGGAATGCAGGAGGCAGCTGATCGATGTTACTCTCTCATCGATGTTTCTAACTCTCCCTCTCCCTTCCTCTCTATAAAAAATCAATAAATATATAAAAAAAGACTTGAACTCAGGTCTCTGGGGCCAACACCAGTGTTATAACCACGCAATAAATGGTAGTGAGGTGCTTAACAAAGGAGAAAGCCCTAGCCCCATCTTACAGAAGAAGAAACTGAGGCTCAGAGAAGTAACACCCCTCCCCCCCATCCCCCGGGCACCTATTGCAAATATATGTCTATCTCTGAAGGAAAAAAGTTTCCACCAAGCTCTATCGTCCCTTCCCCGGCTCTACTGCAAAACCCAGTCCGAAATATCTCCATTTAGGGGCCCCAGCACAGTTCTTTAACCAGGAAATAAAAGGATCTAATAGCAAAGCTCAATAACCACATGATTGATAGCGGAAGAATGTTTCTCTTCAGCTGCTGCCAATCTGCTTGGTGCTAAGTTAATTCCACACCTTAAATAGCAAGTGCCTTGTCCAGAGGCCCTTCAATCCTTCGGTGATATTGCTGCTTCCAGCTGCAAGAATTCAGCGTGGGAGCCAGGCAAGAAGGGAGTCAGGAGTCCAGGGCAGCACTGGCCCCAGAAGCACAGATGTTCAGACACCAGCAGAAATCATGGGTGAAACAGCCATCATAGAAACAAAAGTCTTCCAGTCTATCAGCAGAGGGAGATGGGATTTCCCCAGAGCCAAAGGTCTAAGGAATCCAAGAAGGAACCTTGAAGTTCATAGAGCCCAACTTCCAACATGTTGCAGGTGAAGAAACTGAGCCCCAGAGACGAGAAGAGACTGCCCCCAGACCACTCTGTCAGTCAGCTACTGCTGCGTAACAAATTAATCCAATCTCAGCAGCATGGAACACCAGATGTGTCGCATTGCTCACGAGTCTATAGCTCAGTGGG